AATTTTTAAGAGCCTCTGAATATATAATTATATTAAAAGCACAAAAACAATCATTTAGGTCAATTGCGATGACATAGTTCTACATGAAAAGGTCAGTTTCTGTTCAGAATGTGCTGTCCAATAAAGTTCAGACAATTATAACACCCTTCTTGAATATTTCCTTCAAAATGATACACAATTCTTTTAAAGAATCATTTTTGAAAAGGATAAATATGATGTCTGAGAAATAAAGATTATATGATGTTTATTTATTCCTCCAAGCTTTTCTCTGAGAAAAAAATATAGAGTTGGCAAAAATTTGTTTTGTGCTATTTATTTTTTTGTCTCAGTGTCTTTTTAATTCTTCAAATTTACTGGCAAGCAGCAATCACCAGCTAATGCCTCTCCTCTAGGTAACTCATTAATTAGAATAGTTCTTCTCAGAAATTTCTCTGCTGTGAGCTTTCGCCAATTGTCAGGAATTTAAACTGGTTTAAGGAAGACTCTTTGACATATTGACTGAGATGCTGTCTTGAATGTCAGGGATACAAAGATGAACAAACCAAGTCACTTTCCAGGAGTTCCCCATCTATCTACTCAGAAAAAGAACATTTGAGGAAATACATGCCATTCAGAGCAAGTTAAGAAATAAAGGGAGATCAGATACTATTCAGGCACAAAAGAGAGAGTGGTCAACTCAACCCAGGAAGAGGAATGCTTCACAGACAGTGACACTTGAATCCTGAAGGTGTAGGAGTTAATCAGGATAGAAAGCAGGAAAAGGCATTTCTGATGGGGATAGTGGCATGGAATACAATGGTGAATTTGTGATGGTTCACTTTGGAGCAGAGCACTAAAGTATTTGAAAGGAATAAATGAAGATTGGACTGATAGGAGAATCCCTCTCCTATCCTGTCATCTCTTTCCAACTTTCTTTTCTTCTGCGCAGTTGAGATGCAGGACAGAGCAACATGCCCACGGTCTAAGCAGTTGTCCAGTAGAGAATGAAATTAGTATACCCATTTCACAGCCAAAGCTCAAAGAAGTTAAACAACACACTTAATCTCTTTCTCTCACTCTCATTGTGTTACATTTCCTTTTAAAACTATGTTGGATAAATAAAACATATATGTTCTATGTTTTGGGCGAATTAAGAATCTTATTCTTCAGGCCCTGGCTGTTGTAGCTCAGTGGATTAAGCGTGGGCCTGTGAACCAAAGGATCCTGATTCGATTCCCAGTCAGGGCACATGCCTGGGTTGCAGGTTGGTTCCCTGCAGGCCAGTTCCCAGCAGGGGATGCATGAAAGGCAACCATACATTGGTGTTTCTCTCCCTCTCTCCTTCCCCTCTAAAGATAAATAAATAAAATCTTAAAAAAAAACAAAACAGTTTTCGTGCCCTGGCTGGTATGGCTCAGTAAATTGAGTGCCAGCCTGCAAATCAAAGTGTTGCCAGTTTGATTCCTAGTCAGGGCACGTGCCTCGGTATTGGGCCAGGTCCCCAGTGGGGGGACTCATGAGAGGCAACCACACATTGATGTTTCTCTCCCTCCCCTTCTCTTTTCCTTCCCCTCTGTCTAAAAATAAATAAATAAAATCTAAAAATTAAATAACAGTTTTCTTGAGAAATAATCGACAATTCAGCTGTTTAAGGTGTCCAAATCAATGAATTTTTTGTATTAATGGAATTATGCATTTATCGTTGCAATCAATTTTAGAATATTTTGATTTTTTCAAAAAGAAACCCCACACCCTAAGACATGAAACCCCCATATCCTCCCAACCTTTCCAGGTGTAGGCAACCACTAATCTGCTTTCTGTCTCTATAGATTCATCTCTTCTGGACATTTTAGATAAATGAAGTCATGTAATAAGTGGTCCCTTGTGATTGGCTTCTTTAACTTAGCATAATATTTTCAAGGTTCATTCAAGATGTAGCATGTATCATTACATTTTTTAATATAATTTATTTTTATTTGCTTTTTAGAGAGAGGGAAGAGAAGGAGAGAGAGAGGGAAAGAAACATTGATGTGTCAGAGAAATATTAACTGGTTGCATCTTGCACGTGTCCCAGTGGGGGACAGATCTGCAACCTAGGCATGCGAGTGACCAGAATCCAACTGGCAACCTTTCACTTTGTAGGACAATGCCCAACCAACTGAGCCACACTGGTCAGGGCAGTACTTCACTTTTTTATTTCCAAATATTTCATTGTATAACTATACCACATTTTATTTATTAATCTATTGATTGATTGACACTCTGGTTACTTCAGTTTTTTGATATTATGAACAATGGTACCACTCTGCAGACCCCTTTGTTATTTTTAGTGTACTAATTTATGAATGGGATTAGTTTTATAAGTATTTATCACTGAGAACCCTGGTTTGGGCTAAGTCTATCACTTTCTATAGTGTAGACCAACATGGAGGTACCTTCGTGTGTTCTTGTTACACAGGTAGTATTATGTATATGAAACCTGCAGGAGGAGTTTCAATTATAATACACAGTGAAGTGGGGTGGGGGCAGGGAATTGTGGGGAGGGTAAGAGAGGGGAAGAATCTTTCTCTTGTGACCCCTAAATAGGATCATGGTCCATTCTAACCATTTAACTTCTGATTAAAAGAGAGCAGAGCAAATACCTTAGACCCTAACCAGATGGGTATAATTTTTCTAAAATCTTGTTCTGCTGGATTTAACATTCTAAGAAAGGATGAATTCAGGACAAACAAATGACTACAAAGTACGAAACAAAAGTACCTTGAAAAATCTCTTCTTAAGTGAAAGGAGGATTGAACTTTTGGATTTTATCTTATAGGATGTTGCAATTTGAAGGCCATTAAATTGTGTACATGTAAAATCCTTCTTTTGACAGACACTGAAGTTTCCTGATTGTACTCCTGAGATATTATAAAGCATTTCAGAGGCTGCTGTTAAACTAGAGAATTGTGAATTGGTGGGTTTTCAAATAAGTTACTCCAGACTTCAGTCTGGTCTAAAGCTTCCTGTTTTTACAATTAACTCCTCATGTTTCTTTGTTGAGTGTGTGTGTGTGTGTGTGTGTGTGTGTGTGTGTGTGTGTAAAACCTAAAGATAGACTAGGAAACATGTGGGGCCATCTGGCTTTAGAGGGAAATCCAGATTTCTGTCAGGACTAGCTACTAAATGTAAACTGGATAAACAATGCTATTATAATATACTACTCCTCTGCTAACCCTCAGTCATCACTGTCCAAAGTGCCCCCAAACTTCTTGTACTTTGGTATTAATACTTTATGGGTTTTTCACATGTGAATGAAGTAGGTCGGTCCATCTTAAGAAAAAGCCCAGTACAAGCATGAACACTTCCATCTTACTGAGTCAAGTTTCTGAGGTATTACAAACAAAAGTGAACCTGTCAGGCATCAGGCTACTCCTGAGCTCAATGTTTCCTTCTTGGCCCCCACTCTCCTTTGGTCTGCATTTCCAAGCAGAGAACTGTGATTAAGAGTCATCAAGAGCAGAAGGAAAGGATTCCTAGCAACCAGAATGACCCAAGGCTGTGTGCTAACTAGGACAATGTGAGGTTTTCCTCTGTGCACCAGTTAGCAAAGTGTGACATGAATGCATCCTAATATTAATTAAGATGATTTTGGAAGGGCATGTCTGTGCTGTCCAAAGCAAAGCCAGCCTGTAAATGAATTAGGGAAAGTTACATTTCAAGATTTTTCCCTAAAGATTCTTCATTTTAAGGGAATAATGATTAAAGACAACACCAATAACATTTATAGAGCACTTACTATACAGTGATATTTAATTTAACCCAATTATTATCCCTGCTTTACATATGAAGAGAGTGAAACACAGACAGGTTCGGTAAATTGCCTAGGCTCACACAGCTAAGTATTGGAGCCTGGATTTGAATGAGGCTGGAAGACTAGAGCTCAGGCTCTCAACTACTTACTTAAAAAATGGTGCTGTTTCTTAATTCAGTGGTATGACAAAACAATTTTTGCCACTCATTTAAAATACCATGTAAGTAATCAGAGTAGATGTTTCTGTAAATGTAAACAGCATACATTGCAAAACTATACTATATTTATTTTCTCTCAAAAAATTTGTTTAACATGCTCATTTTGTCCCAGGGAAAAAGTCTTTATTTTCCTTCGAAGTGAAGAGTAACATTTAATTTAGTTGGAGAACTGCTAAAATTACTTTGATGACTCCAGTCGTGCATAGCATGGAGATTCATGACAAATATGTAATCTATTTATTTGTCATCCAACTTGAATGACTTCCAAATGTTTCTTCTCTTAGTAGCTCTTGATTTTGTTTGGATTTTTTTTTCCAATGGCCAAATAGTCAAACAACGTCTGAATCGTTTGCTCCAGCCGGGGAATACCAACAAGTTGAAAGACAGCTATGGTTATTTAAAATCCTACTACATTCACTTGCAACTTTGAAGAGCACTCATGCTTTTAGTGTACTGGATTTTTAAAAGGAGAAGAAAAAAGAAAAAAAAAAACAAGTTTGAGGCTCAAGTCCCCCCTTTGCTCTTTGCTGCAGCTTTTCCCATTCCATTTTGCAGGCGAAAGCATGCTAAACAGATCAAGTCAAACTGTCCGAAAGGCTGTCTGCATCCCTCATGGTTAAAAGAGAAGGATTTTGTTCTTTTTTCCTTCACACATCAAAGAAGGCACTCGGGGAGGAAATAAACCATAATTAGGCACGAGTGAGCAGACAGACCCCTTCCTCTGTCTTCCTCATCCCCGCCCCCAGACCCTGGCAAACGTCCTGGGAGTAAGCGAGGCGCCGGCCACCGCAGCAGCTGCAGCGAGAGCGCGTCCACGCCCGCGCCCGTTGCCAGAATCTGGGCGGTGGCGGGGCTGGCCCGGGGGCGCGCTCGCTCGGGAGCGCGCTCATGCAGCGGTTTTCTTATCCCACTCCCACAATCCAGAGGCTGCGGCGCGGGAGGGGCGGGGAGTCGGCGGAAGGATATGGGCGCGGAGGCAGCGGCGCGCTCCTTTTGACGGCGGGATCGCGGCATCTGCTGGGCTGCGAGGAGCGGGGTGTGATGCGGCACTGCGGTTTTGAAGCCGTTACTCCGGCTCCTCCACAGAGGGCAGAAGACTGGGTTGGAGCGCGGCGGTGATTTTTGTGCCAGGGCTCCCGGAGGCTCACCGAAAAGGCTGGCGGGGCTCAGAAAACTGGAGGCTTAGGGACATATTCAAGCCCCCACCCCCTAGGAGGGGAAGGGGGCTGGAGGCGAGGCTTGAGGGCGGCCGAGGCATGGTGTCTGCTTCGGGGGAAGGGGCGAGCCCTTTCTGTCGTTGGTGAGGGGCAGGAGAGGCTCCGCGTTTCGAAGCAGTTCTATGCCCACTGCGGGTGGAAGGTGTTGAGCGGCACACGGAGGTCGAGCCTGGAGGCTGTCCGGAACCCTTAACGTGAAATCGAACGTGGTATTTCATTTAGCCCACGTTGGGATTAATTCATTATAGGCAGCTTCGCTAGTCTGTCTCCTCCAGGAGCTGGGCAACCTTGACGGGCTTTTTTTGTCTTGCTGCTCCAGCCCCTTTTCCCTTCCTCCTCCTCCAGATGCCTTTTCTCTGCCCCTCCTTGCCCGGTACAGACATTTCCAGCGCAGGCTTTGGCTCGGGGCTGCTGTCGAAGCCACTTCTTGGGATTTGAGCTTGTTTTCCTCTGGGGTATTTTTTGAGGAGGGAGAGTTCTATTCTCCCCTCCACGATGGGATTTTCTTCCCGTGCCAAATTAGACTTTCATTGATTTCTACTTCATCGTTTAGTGAACAAATTCCCTAGGCGTATTTTTGTGGTAGTTCCTTTTTTCAAATACATGAGCTGTAAAATGGAGAACGAAATTTTTACTCCCCTTCTGGAGCAGTTTATGACCAGTCCTTTGGTCACTTGGGTGAGTGTTATTTGTTATATATTTTGCTGCATTATTTGTGGCTGCAGAGATGGAGGTGGGCATTCGTGTTTGATGATCATTCTGTTCCAGGTTAAAACGTTTGGACCTCTGGCTGCAGGAAATGGGACCAACCTGGATGAATATGTGGCTTTGGTAGATGGAGTGTTCTTGAACCAGGTCATGCTCCAAATGTAAGTGTTCTTTTTTCTTTTCTAGGTAACTTTTTATTGTGTTTTTTTTTAATGCATACTGTGAACTTAGAGATTTTATGTTTTAAGATCCTAATTTGGTTCTTTGCCAGAAAAATCAGGTGGTTTAACAATTGGACCTTGAAAGGAGTGGTAAGCTTACATGTCCAGCTTATTTATCACCACCCAGTGATTAAAATTATGAAACTTTAATTTTTTATTCTGTAAACCATGTATTGTCCCTTAGTCTCTTCAGTGCTGAAATTCAAACCACATTGTGTCCTCTGATAATTAGGTGGAAGAAAGGGAGAGAGAGAGAGGGAGAGAGAGAGAGAATAAATATGACAATGAGAATGAATAATAGTTTCCTATGGGGGGTCTTTACTGTGAAGTTATGCACATTTGATGCAGAAATGTTTCTTATTAACCTTTGTGTCTAAAAATAAATGGCTCAGAATTTGAAACTGGTGAAGTAATAACAGATTTCAGAAACAGAATTTCAAACAATAGTTTTTACCGGTGAGGAACTGTTGCTGTATCAAGTAATTTAAATGCTACTAAGTGAATAGATGCTTTATTGTGTGAATTTTTAGATTAATATTTGGTGGTTCTTTTAAGGTATTAGAGTTAGCTTTGAAATGCAGGTAACTGAAATCTTGATGACAACTAGGTAAAGATTTAGTAGGCAAATCTTTATGTTTATGGTATTGTGTTTGTATTTAGTAGGAAAGTTTTTGAGATGGGAATTCAATATTGAAATCATATTGGTAGCTGGATCAGTGAATAAAAACCCCATTTTTATCATTGTAGGTATTGTATTAATAGCATACACCTATTGTAAGTACATAAGTATAGGTTATCAAATGGAATTTTACAATTGTGCTCAAAATAATGTATATTTAGCCTTATTTCTCTTGAACAGAATCCGATTACAAAGAGTAGTTTGGAACTTTTAATTTCAAAACAGTGTCATCTTTTATATATGTAGAAATTTCATGCATTATTAAGAGAATTAGTCTACTGTTGATAGACTAATGGCCTAACATAAAATATCAATTTTATATTTTATTAGAATTTTTAAAAGACTTTTCTGTTAAAAAGAGGGTAGAAGTCAAATCTGTAAATAATTGTTCCAGTTGTAACTTTGCACTCTGTTTGCTCAAAGAGTTTGTGTAGCATTTTTAATGTATGTGTTGATCCTACAGGGAAGTATTATACTACTGTATGTTTTCCAAAAGTGTTTTATTTGTATAGTTACCCAAAGAAATATGTATGTTATCTAAATGCGTGCGTGTATATATATTTTTTCTTAATAAATGGGAAAAGACTATAGACAATAATTATTTCCAGGGATAGTAAATATATTTTGGCATTCCTCCCATGGAACAATTTTTTATCTTTGAAATACCCCACTATTTCTTAAGCAAAATTGTAGACTAATTAAATTGACTTCTGTTTTAGGAAACACATGACAGGAAGGGTAGCCATTGCAGTAGATACTCAGAACTTGTTTCCCTGTTTTTTTTCTTGCTTGCAAGCAAGAGTTTTGGATTTATATACTGACTTCTAAAAAAAATAGGTGTGTTTACAAAAATAGGAAAATACATTACTTTAGTTTTCCACTTTAATGTTTTTTATCTGAGTGATTCTTTTTCCAAAAAATATTTAGTTGGGTTTTTTTTTTTTTTTTGAGTCCTGAACAGTTAGACAGGGTGCTAAAAACACTTCAGGTTGTTTCCACTTTGAGTACAGTTTATACTTAAAAACATATATGTGTATTTTGAATGTTATGGTGTTCCAAAATAGTGGTTGCCAGGTTTTTTTGGGGGGAGAACCTCAAATCTGCTTCTGTTTTCAGTTCCACCTCTCAGTTTCTTTAAGTTTTTTCAGTGTCCTAATTCTGTTCTGAATGACCTTTATTAAGTAAAGAAAAAGAAAAAGAAGGAAAAAAGAAGTATGCTTCAGCTTTTTAAAAATAATTTGCTAAAATAAAATCAACACAAATTTGTTACCCAATAGGGTAACAACATATACATTGCTTTAAAGCAGTATTTTGCTGATTTTGAAATCATTAAGTCGTCTATTAAGCACCTTACTTAATATAAATTGTTTGACTCAATATACTCTATTAAATTGTCAGTTGAAATTGTACCCAGTAAGTGAACCTAAAAGTTAGCCTTTGTCTAAGTAATATCTAGATTACATTTGGTTTTGTAAAAACATAGGATTTGTAAAAATCTTTTGTAAATGAAACTTTATTTTTCTTTATGTTTCTTGTGCTTCCAGTTCATTGACTTTCTTGGATCAGTGGGTTTGTAGTTTTTATCAAAATTTGGCCATTCACACACACAATTTTATCTATTTTTTTGTCCCCCTTTCCCCTTTTTGGAAATCCAGTTACATTTAGTACTTGTGTATCAGGCATTTGATGTTATTTGAACAGCACCGGTGTTCTGTTCAGGTTTTTAGTTTTCTCTGTTTCATTTGGATAATCTTGCTATGTCTCCAAGTTCATTAATCTTTTATTTTTCTGTAATGTGTAATCTTCTGTTAATCTTATCCAGCCTTTTTTAAAATTTTAGACATAGTTTTATCTCTAGAAATGCAGTCTTTTTTTATATCTTCCACTTGTATAGCTCTCATGCTGTCTTTTCTCTAGCCTCCTGAATGTGTAGTATTCAGTTATAACTGGCTGTCTAGGTCTACAATGAAATCTGTGACATTTCTGGGTTGGTATTGATTGATGTTTTATCTCATGGATTGTGTTTACTTGCTTTTGCATGCCTGGTAATTTTTGATTGGATGCCAGGCATTTGGAATTTTTTACCTTGTTGGGTGCTAGATATTTTTGTATTCCATTAAAAATTCTTAAGCTTTGTTCTGGGATGCAGTTAACTTGGGAACAGTTTGATCTTTTCAGATTTTGCTTTTAAGTTGTGTTAGGCACTACCATTGTTGCACTATAGAGGCAAAACCCATCTTAATACTCTAGGTAGTAGTAACAGGGGCTATTTCAGGACTTCTGTGAATTCTAGGTGGTGTTCTCCCCAGTCCTTTTCATTGGATCTTTCACTGCCTTGGGTAGTTTCTCACACATATGTACTGATAAGTACTCAGTTGAACACTGCAGAATACCTCTGTAGATCTCTGGATCTAGCTGTGTAGCTCTCTCCTTTTTTAGTACTCTGCCTTGTGTATGGTAATCACTTTCCTATCTCCAGACTAAGTTATGTCTCCTCAACTCTGGAAGACCATTGTGCTCTGCCTGGGTTCCCCATCCTTGTTCCTTGGCCTAGAAATTCCTTCAAGGCAATAAACTAGGGCAATTGTAAGTCACATCTTGTGTGTTTCCCATTTTTCAGAAATCTACTGTTCTTTGTTGCCTAATGTCCATTGTCTTGAAAAAATCCTTCCAATATTTTGTCTTTCTTCCCCCCAGTTGTTTCAGGCAGGAGGGTAAATTTGGTTTCTCTTATTCCTGCTTGGCCAAAAGTGAATATCTGTTTATATACTTGTACATTAAATACACTTTTGCTCTGCCAGTCTTACATTCCTGCTTTCAGATGTGGCATAGAATTTTGTTACAGGAGCCTTATGGTAGAATTTTATTTTCACCTAAAGTGTTAATTAAGAGTGGTTATTGATTGGTGACTAGATTTGCCATTTTGGGCCTAGAATATGAAACTAAAGAGTTGATTTCTTCATGCCAGTTTACTGACTCTGCTTTATAATTTTGGAGTCTGTTCACTGACTTGGGATTCACTGTGTTCAGAGATGAATCCTGGATTTCATCGAGTAGCTCCTCGAATCAAAGAATCTCTGTAAGAGCTTGTGACATAGTGTCAGTCCCCTTTAACTAATGGGAAGAGGAAGTTATTTAGAGATCTGGAATGACGGCCCAGCTCTTCTGCATGCTGCAGGGCATTTTCCTACTTCAGCTGAAAGAAAAAATTTTTCCCCAGAGCTAGCTATATATATGGCTTTGTGACGGTGAAGTAGAAATAATTGTTTTTGTGTTTGAGATGTCATTCAGTTCTGTAACCAGTTTTGAATATTACTTGCTGTGAATTTTTAATTTATGACAGTAGTTAATTTCATCATTTTAAAGTTTAAAAAGTATGCTATTTATATTACCTAAGTAATTGAAAATATGGATATGTTAGGGTTTTAAGTACTGAGAAAATTATTAATAGTATCAGAACAATATTTGGAATTACTCTGATTCAGTCCCATTAGATAACTGTAGAGATCTATACTTGAAATACTTAGTAAATGTAATATACTTATTATGGTTTTTCTTTTAGAATCTTGAGCTTGAAGGGACTTCAGAAGTCACCTACTGTGAAAAATCTTTTTTTTTTTTTTGGTAAGAGAGAGAGAGGAAGGGAGGGAGGGAGAATAAGAGGGAGAGAAACATCAATGTGTGAGAGGAACATTGATCAATTGACTCCTGTACACTTTCCTACTAGGGACCAAACTGCAACCTAGGCATGTGCCCTGACTGGGAATCAAACCAGCATCCTTTCATCTTGGGTGATGCCCAACCAGCTGAGCCACACTGGACAGGGCTGTGAAATACATTTTTAATTAAACCCCCGACACATGGTCATCCAACTTCTGTTTAAGTATTCCGTGAGAATCTGTTTTATAAAGTGTATTTAAAGTAACTACTTATCTAATAGAGGAAGTTGACTGAGAAATGTTCCTTAAGTTATTAGTGCTTAAGTTTAAAAAGTAGATCGTACTAGTTTTATGACTACAATAATCCCAAAATGACTTATAAAATATATTGGTGGTTGTTTTGGCTGGCTGGCTCAGTTGGTTGGAGCATCATCTCGTACACCAAAATGTTGCAGGTTCTATTCCCTGTCAGGGCACACACCTAGGTTGTGGGTTCTATCCTGGTCAGAGTGCATATGGGAGGCAACTGATTGATGTTTCTCTATCTGCCTATCTCTATCCCTCCCTTCCTCTCCCTCCCTCCTTTTATCCCTCCCTCCCTC